AGTTATTCTCCCTTCTACTCATACGGCTCTTTGCTTGCATGTTTTAGAATCGCCGCCGGAATCAACTGCTTGAAATGTTCCCTAACCTGAAGTGCTTCAAAGTGCATAGCTAATCTTTGATTATTTGAGAGAGAACACGGGTTTTCCAAAAAGCGCCGGTGGTACAAGACCATTCCTTGTGAAAACATCCTCAGATTATCAGATTTCAAGAATTTAAAATGCTGCCAGCTCTGACGCATGCCTACTCGGTTTTGCTCCGTAGACTTCCAAAGCTAGACAGCACAGCGTTTCTATGGATTTATAATTTATTTAAGTTTTGCCCGCAAATTATAACACTAATCTGGCGGTATTGTGTTTCTTTGTTGCTCATTTTCCTCCAAAGGATGTTCGCCGTCCTTCTCTCGGTGGGCTCGTACTCATTCTTTTGTGTTATGCTAATTTTTCTATAAAAGTTATTGTTAAATCCACAGCCAAAATGGCTAAATCCATAACTTGCATCTACATTTACTAACTCCACTCCCATTAATATAAATTTAATATTGGCAATTAATATAAATTTAATATTGGTGTGGATTTAGCACATTTAAGTTAAAGCTGTGGGTAGTCATTTTAAGACTTGATTTAACAACACCCTTCTATAAGAGCATTGGCAATAAAAAATAGTCTAGTAAGAGTGCAACAAGTGAGTGAAGTGGTAAACTCTACACCAACAAGTCATTTTTTTAACTTTTTACATTTTTAAATCTTTTTTAATTATTAAAAGATATTTTACCTTACTTTTTTTTCAACAAAAAATTACTTCTACTTCTTTAAAAAGAAATCTTCTATTTTATGAAAATGACTAATAAAATTAAAAAAAATTAAAAAAGAAAAGAAAAGGAGAAGATTAAAGGGAGCAAATTTGCCAATGTTCTAAATTCTCCCTAAGACCATACGTAGTGGCGTGTGTTATTGCGCATCCACGTCGCTTCATATCTATGTAATTATGTCGTCTTCTAAGACGTGAGATTTGTTAAAATTGCATCAATGTTTATTCAAATAACGAGCTCAGGCATTTCGTGGCTTGCATCGAAGACATGGGGTCACCGGCCTGGGTCAAAATCCAAGATTCGATGACCATAGATGGGGTGATCAAAGATAAAGTCGGAATTGAACCACTAACATTTTTTTTGGTTCTAAAGGTCTCCACTCACATGTTTTCCACATGGTGAAAAATATCCTTATGGGCCTGAACCACTACGTATGGTCTAATAGGTTGTACATGCAATTAGATGGATCGAATAATGGTTCTCCCTAGGGTCATTAGGGTTTGGAAATCCTAATACGCCATTACATGGACCGAATAATGGTTCTCCCTAACCCTTAAGTTGGGCTTGGTGTTTGTCCATCGCTCTGGTTGGTACGCTCCTCGGGCTCGGGACAAACTACTCTGGCCAAGGTGCAACTCTGGTTGGGGAATATTGCTCGGGCTCGGGACATGATACTCTGATTGGGATATACCACTCGGGCTTGGGATATGATGCTTTGGTCAAGACATACCCCTCTAGCCAAGGTGCCACTCTGGCCGGGACATACCATTCATCGGGATACATCACTCGGGATCGGGCCCATGGCACTCTGGTTAGGTTACCACCCTGGTCAGGATATGGTATCCGGGCTCATGACATGGTACTCTGGCCAGACTTAGCCATTTATCCATGCGGTTGCTCGTACTCTCACTTGGTCCTTACGCGCAAGATCTGCAATGTTATGGGCCTGTCAAACACGTCTGATTTGTGCTTGGACATTAACCTAACACAAGCCCCCTAGTTTCGTAGTCCTATAGTGTAGCAGAGTGGATGTCGAAACTTAGAAGTCGATTTATCACCCCTCATGCTCCTTATTCATTGTTATTTGCCCGTGACTCTCTAGCGGGTGTGGATAGGCATCCTTGTTCAAGCAATATAAGTTTCTCCTGATCAAAGATTGACCTAAATTCTTGACAAGGTATTCAACGTTCCTGTGCATGGGTCCTTTGCAAGGGCGGCGGTCTCCTCCGGCTTAGAGTTTTAATAAACCTTCTTGGCAGGAGCAAGAGCCCTTCCCAGGCCTAGACTCCTGCGAGCCCCTATTGGTATTCAAGTCTCATCGTCGAGGTGGGGCACCATTCCTTGCCTTTGAGTGATCAGCTCGGTGGGATTTAATATACTGGTCATCATGAAGTATGTGCCATGGTAAGCACTTCAAGCATAATCAGCATCACGAAACTCACTCTATGACAAACACTTCGAGCATAATCAGCATCAAGAAACCCATGCTATGGCAAGCTTTTCGGGCATAATCAGCATCAAGAAAACCCATGCTATGACTAGCACTTTAGGCGTGATTCAGCATCAAGAAAACCTGTGCTAGTAGAGCAGGGGTATGTATGTATGTATGATGAATAAATGAATGCGTGAACGTATGTATGAACGAATGTATGCACAGAGGGAAGAGAAGGGGATATGCATGTTGGCCATATTAACCTGATCCTTGAGGTCAATGATGAAATGGGATGACGGTCTCGAGTCTACCCTCACCTTCCCAGGGCATCCGAATTGGCTTGCCCGATCAAGATCCATGGGTTCGTACCCTTGGACCGTATCCTGCATCCTTGAGTTGACGTCCGGATTGTTAAGTCGACTTATGAGTCAGACTTAAGGCCCTTGATTGGATGGTCAACCTGCCTTTGTTGGCGGACAATGTGACTGGGACTTGGTTCGGGGCGTGCCTCCCCAAAAGGGGTGCCAGATCGGTTTGTCCACTCAGGATCTACGGGGCTTTTTCCCCTTGACCTCCTCCTGCGTCCTAGAGTTGATGTCCCTAGGGACCCGGGATATACCGCTCGGGCTTGGGATATGATGCTCTGATCGGGAAATACCCCTCTAGCCAAGGTGCCACTCTGGTTGGGACATACCACTCGGGCTCGGGGCATACCACTCTAGCCAAGGTGCCACTCTGGTCGGGATATACCACTTAGGCTCGAGGTATACCACTCTGGCCAAGGTGCCATTGTGGTTGGGACATACCACTCGGGCTCGAGGTATTAGACTTTGGACAAGGTGCCACTTTGGTCGGGATATACCACTCATGCTCGGGGTACATCACTCTGATCATGACATGGAACTCTGGCCGAACTTAGCCACCATCGAAGTATTTTGTTACAAGTGGGTGGCCATCGAGTGAATGGTGGCCCTCTGTGACTAGGGGAATTAGCTTGGATATCCCCTCCTAGCATGGTGCGGGGGGCACCACCACACCTATCTACCTTATGAGTATTGAGTAGAGGCCTTACTCATAGTAATCCCTCATTGTCGACATAAGTTGTTTGGTCTTTGGTGTTGTTGCAGCGGCGACTGGTTGAGTTGTGTCCGACTCGAGTTCCACTACGACAGTAAGGCCATTTAGTCATGTCAAGTCATGTCGCGTCACAGCAAAGTCACCTCATGAGTCTTTCACAAGTCAATTCACCTTGATTATACAGTAACTACTTCTTGGTTGTGGAGCTCAACTACACAGGTTGAATTGTTTGCATGTGGTTAAACAGAGCGTGGTGGCTCATGAAATAATTTGATCGTTCCTGTGGATCACCAGCCTTAAGTTCTCAAAGGAGCTGGATTTCTAATTGACGATTGGGCCACCACCTTAGTACGAGTTCTACCACGAGAAAGAGTCGTACCAGCAACAGCATCACACGAGAACTTACTAGAAAGAATGATGATTGGTCGGTCAGATGTCGTTAATCATGAGTGGGAAACCTCTTGATCTAAAGGGTTTTAGTTGGGATCTCGCTAGTTGCATCTATGGAGATGTTGATCTTGTGTGAGCTTGTACCTGCCCCTCGCTGGAGAAACAAAGGGATGGTGGCGATAGCAGACATTCCTCGTCGATGGCTCTTTCCAATCCAAATAGCGATTGGCCCTTACATTGTTTACTTAAATCCGGCACTCGTATTAGTGTCCGAGATACATTGCTGCTAGGAACTATGATGGTTCTCCCAATCCCAGATTTGGGAGCTAACCAGCTCTACTTCTTTTTGGAGGATCCGATGCGGGGCACCATCGCCGGAGCGCAAAAGACTAGATGGGGCTGGGGATTGAGTTTCCCTGTTGCCAGCGAAACAACTGGGTGTCGTGCCTGGCTTCCTTACTCCGCCCCAAGGGATGGCGGCTCCGTCCTTGCCCTAAGTTCAAAGATCTGGGGATGAACATGAACCAAAATTCGAGCAAAAATAGCTTTTAGATCGGTCCCACAGATGGCGCCAATGTTGGAGTTAATTGCTTCAAGTTTCTAAAGACCCAACACTGTGTCTAGACCCAAAATATCATTAATTTGTAAGTGGGTTTTTGAAAGAATATGAATAAGGATTTTTATGTGGAACCCAAATCCGGGAGAAAACTACGAGCCCTTTTTGATAAACCCAAGCCAAAATCTTCTTTATTCATGTACTGTTTGGTGTTACAAAGAGGCTATAAGCCATGAGAGAAAGCTCATCAACCATTCTCTTTCTAGATTACAAGTGGGGAAGAAGAGGGAAAAAAGCTCCCTAAACAATACATTGTCCCTTTTATTTATACTAGGGCCATTAGGGTTTGGAAACCCTAATGCGCCATTATATGGACCAAATAATAGTTCTCCCTAACTGTTAAGTCGGGCTTGGTGTCTGTTCATTGCTTGCTCTGGTTTGGTACGCTCCTCGGGCTTGAGATATACCACTCTAGCCAAGGTGCTACTATGGTCAGGACATATTTTCAGGCTCAGGGCATGATACTGTGATCGGGACATACCACTCGAGTTGGGATATATCACTCGGGCTCAGAATATGATGCTCCGGTCAAGACATACCCCTCTGGCCAAAGTGCCACTCTGGTCGGGACATACCATTCATTGAGATACATCACTCAACCTCAGGCCCATGGCACTCTGGTCGGGGTACCTCCCTGGTCAGGATATGGTACCCAGGCTCGGGGAATGGTACTCTAGCCAGACTAAGCCATTTATCCATGCGGCTACTCGTACTCTCACTTGGTCCCTAAAAGCAAGATATCTGGAATGTTATGGGCCTATCAAATGGGCCTGATTTGTGCTTAGACATTATCCCAACAAAAGTAATTAAAGAATTCAATTATAAAAACAATTGCCCATTTTTGAAAAATAATTACGTATATTAAATTTAATTCAATAAAAATTAAGTGGAAACTTACACTAATTACATTTGCGTTTACTCAATCATACACATAATTTGTAAAAATTTAAAATAATTAAGAAATTAGAGCCCTAGATACGAATTTGATTAATAATCAAACTTTACCTTTTTAATAGATTTTGATTTAACCTATATGCATTGAAATTTCTTCTTTTATCTACTTGAGGACGAAGTCACGTGGAAAAAGTGTTGGTATCATCTCTATCCAAGCTCCACACGACCTCATGAATCCCTGCGAACCCTAGATTCCTGACTTTTGTTTGTTTTTATTTTTTCTCATTCCTTTCTAATCCCTTGATCCAAACATGTGCTAAGGAAAAAAGGCAGATGAAAATCTAGCACAACACCCGAGAGATATTGAACAGAGATTGAATATACTCCCACTGTTTTTTAATAGTTTTGACAGGACATTAAAGACATCAAAAAAATTTATTCTATGGGACATGGTATAGAATGCCATAATACAAATAATTTGACCTTTAATTATTCCTTACTACTTGTTCCTGCGCTCTTTTTTATCTTTTTATTTTCTCCGGAAAAACCAATTCCTGCAATGCCAAAGAAAACTGGTAGATAAGCCATTTTATCAAAAACGCGAGTTTAAATAATTGGTAAGCTCAGTGCACAATGCTCCAACTAGGTAGGGTAGATGTACGGTGCGTAATCCCTACTTACATAGAGGTTGTTTCCAGGATTAGAACTTATGACCTCATGGTAAATAAACATTTATGGGTAAATTTTATAATTGGTTCTTTAACATAAGACTTTACATATTTAGTCCTTTCATGAGTAATTTTCCACGGATAGTCTTTTTCTTATCTTCCGTCATATTGGTGTTATTTTGAGGGCTAAAAGTATAACATCACATTGACCATATATTTGGTAATGTGATGTCGGCTTGACGATCAACACAACAACAATGTCTATGTTTGTGGACTAAGATTCCAACAAGAGACGTATGTAGACTATAATTGTGGTATACAGAGACTTCAGTTGACAAACAACGCATCAACAACGATCTTTGGCATTGGGTATGACAAGAAAGATATGTGATCATTGTGAAAATTATACTTTTAGCTATCAAGTTAACACTAACATGACAACGTAAAAAAAAGTCCATCCGTGGTGGAAAGGTACCCATAAAAGGACCACGAGCATAATATTTAATAATACACTAAATATGGAAAACCCCTGTTATAAAGGACCAATTATAGAATTTATTCAATATTTATCATAAACATTAAGAAATCACCAACCTAGTGAGTGTTTGGTTCGAGACTTGCATCGAAACTCAGCTAAGAGTGCTATATGATCTGATGACCACTCTGGAGAAGGAAGTGCTGTGTCTTTTCTCAAGCTATTCTCGTCCAACAGCTCCAATAAGGATTCTATTGTTAGAGAGTCCGCTGAGGTGAACAAATCAATTGAATATGATTACAGTCACACCAAGAAAATTTAGCATCACCCATAAAAACAATGCAAAACATTAAATATAGACAAAATTGTCAAAAAGACAGAAATTTGGTGTCAACTATCTCCAAAGCTGAATCAGAAAGAGAACAAAATTGATTGAGTATTGGTCCAAACACCATACCTGAGTAGAATATGTAGTCATGGGTACCAATAAAGTCCCTAGTGTAATTTGTGAATAGGGGTTCATTGGTGGTGGGATCAATTCGTCTTTTCTGTTGCTCAAACCCAAGGCCTACCCCAAGTCTACCAATGGCAGAGTAAGCGCTTACCTGCATTGAAGTATTCCATACAAGCGAATATTTATTTAAGCACCACTCTAACCATTTAATCATGGTGTCCTCCAGTGTTTAATAAGGCAAGGTGTAATCTCACATCTTTTCAGAAAATTGAGAACCAAGATGTTTTGTGCTTTGCGCCACTGATGAAAGAACACTTTCTCCAAGGCATTAGCCTCAAGGCTTAGCCTTTGTGGCATATCCGAGGCATAAGCCTCAGTATTTCAGAGATTTCTTCAAATTAAGCGCTATTTTTGTCGAATCATCTACTAGATATTGACTACTTAGGGATTGATCAAGTCTCTTTCCAGTGGTAATTCCGATTCTTTTTTATATGATTCCGTTTGGTTCTTCAGGGTTAAACTTCGTACTGAATTTTTTAACTCACCCAGTCAACCTTCATTATTTGTTTCCATCGTTAGCTTTCCTCTCTTTTAGTATAAAAGTCCGTTGTTTCTTACATAGTTTTTTCAGTAGGCAATTCAATGTTGGACCAGGCATGGAAATATGGGGTATATATAAAATATGTGAAGTGTAACTTTTGCAATAAAGACACCAAAGGAGGGCACACAAGAAAAAATCTGGCACCATGTCCAAAGCCGAAAGGTCCCCGAAGATTTTAAACAAGAGATGTTAGCTCTTCTAACATGACTATAAACTTCCTTAAAGTTCAATGGATTATTTATCATATGAATTTTAGTAATATTTTTTCTTTATAATATTTGGCAAAATGCAAAATACTTCACATGTTTTGGATCTTAAAGCCTGAAGATTATGCCTCAATACGCTTTAATGCTTACACCTTAAGCCTTGAAGGGAAACCGCCTCATTTATGCAATATGCCTTTTCGAACATTGCTGTCCTTTATTTGACGAGAGGAAGAGAAGGGAAAGAACTGGTTGGAGTTTTATAAATAAGTTTTAAGAAGACTATACCAATGGAAGATGATGTGCTAACTTGGTAACTGGGCGCAGAATACCGAGAGGGTCAACTTGGAGATCTGGATGCATTGGATCAACTTTCCCTGCTGCAAGGAGAGAATGAGTAGCACTGCATTTTGACCAAAGAACATTTCAATTATCATTAAATACTCGATAACAAAGCAAAATCAACTTGTAGAAATATAGCATCAACCAAAAAAATGGAGGGAGCATCAATACAGACCGACATACCTTCCGGGTATTGAATTAAAATCACCACACACCAACATTGGAATATCAGCACTAGCAGCAATCTTTTCCAGCCCTTTCACAAGTGTATGAACCTGATGAGTAAAGACCAAAAAAAGGTATCAGTTCTGGACCAAGACCATGAAAAGGCCGGGAGGAACCAAATGACATTGACATGTGACGACCTGCCAAAGCTTGACANCAACTTGTAGAAATATAGCATCAACCAAAAAAATGGAGGGAGCATCAATACAGACCGACATACCTTCCGGGTATTGAATTAAAATCACCACACACCAACATTGGAATATCAGCACTAGCAGCAATCTTTTCCAGCCCTTTCACAAGTGTATGAACCTGATGAGTAAAGACCAAAAAAAGGTATCAGTTCTGGACCAAGACCATGAAAAGGCCGGGAGGAACCAAATGACATTGACATGTGACGACCTGCCAAAGCTTGACATCCTTCAACTCTTGCTGAACATGCATGTGAGTATTTGCCTGATTCAAAAAGGGAAGAAAGAACACTGCAATCAGATGAGGAGAGTAGAGGCTTCTCCGGTGGCAGTAACAAATGCTTCAATCATGACTTGTGTCCAAAGCTAACAAATCTGGGAAAAAGAAAAAGACATTGTTTGTTCCCTATACTTTTTTGAACTATTTTATGAGCCACTGCGCTTTTATTTTGTTATATTGAATATTTGTACTTTTTCAATCTATCACATTGAGCCCTTCTGCCATTGTAAAGCCTCTTAAGCATTGAGACCTGAACTTGTTTTCATGTAGTACACATCTATGCACAATTGAGCTAGGTACGCCATGGGTTCACACACAAACTGAAGATAAACAAATCTGGAGGATCCATACCACACAAACAAGCTGACGCTTTCCAGGGTTATCAGGTCCCTGGTTATTTAATTTTGCTTCCATGACCACTATTAGAGCAACATTATCCTGTATGAAAGCACTCTTTTTTAGAAATAACTAATGCAGAAAAAAAAAATGTATAGCCTATAGAGCTTGACAAGTAAAATCGTAATGCCTGAACTAACATCACTTGACATGTTTAAAAGAAGATACCTTGACCAGGCGATTTAGAGCAGCTTTCTTCTGAGCAATGGGAGCTAAAGCATCAGCCAATGATTGTGCAGCTTTGTTAAACTCAACCTACATGGCAGCATGAGGATGGTTACATGATCTAAAACACATCAGCCGAAGTGTTTGCTCTTTCATACCTCATATTGCTTAACATGAGAAAATCTATCTCGTCGGAAAAGTGTAGCACATCCATCAATTGTATTTACATTTCCACTGAAAGCCTGCAACCACCAACAGTGCAAGTTATAGAAGCATTAATCTTCAATGTCTAACATTCTACCTTAGAGAAAGTAACTAACAAACCTCAGCAGTTTTTCCTTTGAAAATTGCTTCGTAACCATGCTTCTCTAGTTCAGGACAAAAGAAATCCTCAAAATGGTGACTTTGAACCTAAAATGAAAAACATGCAAGCATGCATCAATGATAAGTGTCTAAAAGCTCACTTCACACATTTAATATATTTACTATTGGAAAATAGCTTGGTAGGGGAGAGCAAACTATTTAGATAGCCCTCTTGATGTTGGACAAACACAACTAGAGATTTTAATTTTGCTACACTTTATATTGCTAAATTCACTCAGAGGCTAGTCCAAAATTTAAATGAATGAAAGAATGTTTTTTGCATGTGGCTGCATATACCTCTTGAAGACAAACAATGTCCGGACGATATCCAACGATTTCACGCAATAGATTCTGTCTTCGATATGTCCACGAAAGAGCCCAAGAGGGGCAATATTTGTACATGTCACCATTTGTGTATGCATCAGATAAGATGTTGTATGAAAGCACAGTAAAAGATTCAGCAGATGAAATACGCCCATCTAAATCAACACCACCGACGGAAATCAAACGGCGTGGGGTAGGAGACGGTGCTGGGATCACACGAGATGTCAATATAGTACTCATATGTCCCACTGGCAATTTTGTTTCTGAATCTACAGCAATGCATTCAAATTTAAGGACATGACCAATATCATCAGCTGTTGGCGTATATGCTTTGGATCGTCCAACTTCAAACCACGTTTCACTTCCATTTCTTTGTGAGACTGGTGAAGGATCTAAAGGTGTCGCCCCATTTGCGAAATTCCCAGCTGATTGTGAGCGAGGCAAAATTGTACCACTAACTGTTGCACCACCCACAGGATTGACACGCTCAAAGATTTCTTCCTCTTCATTCCCATTGTCATTGACAGCACTAGCAGCACGTTCATGCAGAACACGGTGATGCTGCCATGCTTCTGAGAAACATTTGGTAGAGCAGTGGTAACTCTTTGCAATGGGGATTTTGGCCTTCACGCATCCAAGGCACTGCAATGTGGCTTGCTCAGACGGGTGGACACTACAAATAGCTACTTTCTTATCGCTTTGTATCCGATACCTACAGAAGGTTCGAATATGAAAAATTGAACTGAACCAGACTTTTGCCAAAAAGAAGTGTCAATCAAATACATCTTTGTTTATTGTTTTTCTTCACAAGATTCGGTAAGAAATAATATGATAAGATTTGGATCACTTTATAGCAGGAGGCCATGTCAGCAGCTTTAATTATATTTGTTCGTTCTCTTTACTTGTTGTTACTTTAGTTTAAAACACTAGTCATTAAATAAAAGGACTCACAGGTTGTCAGGAGTCCTGAAACCTTAGAAGCCTGCCTAGTTGTTATTCAACCTTATCAGTTTGTTACAAAGTTAAATATCCCAGCCTCCCTATTGCTGGGTACGCAGAAAATAAATCATCGTTCTTGAGGTCCTCTTGGCTTCTATCCCTTTTTATAGGTGAGATTCTTATTGTGAGAAAGGAGAGTTCTATTTAGAATTAATTTAGATCCTGAATTAATTCTAACAGGTTTCTATCATTTGGTATCAGAGCCCTCGTTACTCGATCCCTATGGCAATTACCCGTTCAAACGCTGCCCACGGTGAGCACGGTGGATCCAATGAGCAATCAGCACACGAAGTTAGTCCTTAGTCTGCAGAACAACACTCTAGCACAAATCGCTGCCAAGCTTTATGTGTTAGATGACCTTAAGGCAGAAGTGACTGCCCTGAAAGCGCAGGCCAAAAGTAATTCTGGGAAGACAATGAGGCAGTATACGGACGAGTCTGATGATGAAAACAATCACAACCACCACCGATTTCTGAGATCCAAAGTTGAGTTCCCTAAGTTTAACGGCGGAGATCCAAGGGGATGGGTGCTGAATGCTGAAAAGTACTTCCGGTACTATGAAACATCAGAAGAAGACAAGGTGGAGATAGCGGCCATGCACCTAGAGGACGACGCTCTCGACTTGTTTTCTTGGACCAATGCCGAAAGGACTCTCTTGTACTGGGAAGAATCCATCAAAATTATTGAGGAGCATTTTGGTCCACCAGAAGACTTAAACCCAGACAAACACCTAGTCCTAATCAAACAAACAGGTTCTGTGCAAGACTACTGTCAAGAATGGGCAAGAAGGGTTGCTCGAGTCCGAAATTGGCCTGACCACTGTCTCTTGGGTGTTTTCATGGCTGGTTTGAGAGAAGACCTGAGGTCGGATGTCAGAATTCACAAACCCAAATCTGTGTTCAGGGCTTCCAGTTTAGCACTTGAGTTTGAAAAACGGAATACATCCGCGTTTGGAGACAAATCAGACGGGCTCAGGCCGGTTTGCTGGTTCAGGCTCTTTCACTTCATCAAACCGAGAGGTTAAAAAATCAGCCCAATCTCATTCGCCCCAGCCGCTCGCGTTCTCAGGCTCTGCAGGTTCAACATCGTTGTTGCCAGTCTCGAGGTTTAGCAGGGACGATTCAATGAAGCACCAACGCAGGGATAAGGGACTTTGCTACCGGTGTGGTGATCCCTTTAGGCTGGGACATCGTTGTTCAACTTCAGCCACTTCATTCTCTTTGATGGAAGTCGATGAGGATGGCAATCTGATGAACACCGAGCAGGTTCCTGTTGATGAGGTGGTAGAAGAGGAGGAAGTGTCCTTTAGTGCAATTCTGGGGAGGCCAACGTCCGCCACAATGAAATTAAGTGGAAAATTAAATGGGAGTGAGGTTCTCCTGTTGATTGATAGTGGTTCAACGCACAACTTCATTTCTGAAAAACTCGTGCAGCAACTTAAGCTTCCTGTTACATCAGTTCTGACATTTGGGGTACAGATAGGAGACGGCTCTATCATCCGGTATTCCGGTGTAATCAGATTTGCAAGTCCATCTCAATTAAGCTTTCAGGTCTTACTCTTATACAATATTTTTACCCATTTTCACTAGTTGGATCTGATATGGTTCTTGGAATCAAATGGTTAGCCTCCTTGAATACCATTCAAGCAAATTGGAATGAAATGTTTCTGATTTTTTGGGTTGATGGAAAGCAATATAAATTGCAAGGGATCCCGAAAAGTGAACAAGACATTAGTTTGAATTCGATGGTATCCCTTAAATTGCAAATGGGGGTAGAGAAAGAATTTCCAATGAATTTGATACGGACTGATTTCATTGTCCCACACCGGTTAAATGGGGGACTTGGTGATGGGTTTATATAGCCAAAGATTCTCCCACCTTATCAGCTAGCTTTTAGGGTGTGGCTCTCCCTTGTGTTGTATCAATGGTATCAGAGCCAACTCAGAGTGGTGGCCTACGGAGTGGTCGCCTGGTGAAACCAGTCGTGACCAATGTGGCCGTGACCACCGAGGACGTTGGGCCTTATGGGGGGTCGAATGATACGGACTGATTTCATTGTCCCACACCGGTTAAATGGGGGACTTGGTGATGGGTTTATATAGCCAAGGGTTCTCCCACCTTATCAGCTAGCTTTTAGGGTGTGGCTCTCCCTTATGCTGTATCAGAATTTGGATGAGTTGCTTAATGAATATGCTACTGTTTTTTATGAGCCTAGACACCTCCCACCAACACGCCCCCACAATCATGCCATTCATATTATGCCCAACACCCCACCACCCAACATTCGCCCATATCGTTGCCCTTTTTCCCAAAAGAATGAAATCGAGCGCCAGGTGGAGGACCTCTTACACAAAGGGTTCATCCGGTCTAGCACAAGCCCCTTTGCTAGCCATGTGTTACTAGTGAGCAAGAAGGATGGGTCCTCGCGCATGTCCGTAGATTATCGCGCCCTAAACAAGATTACAATTCCGGACAAATACCCAATTCCCAATATTGACGAGTTGCTGGATGAGCTACACGGAGCAGTCTACTTCTCAAAAATAGACCTTCGGTCTGGTAATCACCAGATTAGAGTACGAGAAAGTGACATTCCAAAAACAGCTTTTCGTACGCACAACGGACATTACAAATTCACGGTAATGCCCTTCGGGTTGACTAATGCTCCTGCTACTTTTCAGTGTGCTATGAATGATATTTTCAGACCTTATTTAAGGAAATTTGTACTAGTATTCTTTGACGACATACTAGTTTACAGCAACAGCTCCCAGTAGCATCTTGTCCACCTCCGCCAGGTACTTCAGGTATTACAGCGACATGAATACTTTGCCAACCGTAAAAAATGTGATTTTGGGTGTTCACGTGTGGCATATCTGGGCCATCAATTTTTAATTCGGGGGTGGAAACTGATCCAGAGAAGATTAGAGCAGTGGAGGAATGGCCTACTCCTAAGGATGTCACATCCTAACGTGATTTCTTGGGGCTTACAGACTACTACAGGAGGTTTGTACAGAATTATGGAATCATTGCCAAGCCATTAACTGAGTTGACTAAGAAGAATGCATTTACATGTAATTATAGAAGTCAACACGCAATTGAGGATTTGAAAGTTGCCCTTACTAGTGCTCGTGTTTTATGTCTCCCAAATTTTAATACTGAATTTGTGGTGGAATGCGATGCTTTTATGGATGGTATTGGTGCTATTTAGATGCAGGAGGGACATCCAATTGATTTTTACAGAAAGGGTCTAACATACTCTAACAGGTATCAATCAGCTTATGACCGTGAGCTACTGGCCTTGGTGTTAGCTCTTCAAAAATGGTGACACTACTAGTTGGGTCTCCATTTTGCGGTACGCACAGGCCATCATAGCCTCAGACACCTCTTGGAGCAGAGGGTTCTAACAAATACCCAGCAGCGACTTATCCTCAAGCTGTTGCCCTTTGATTTCCGTATCACTTACAAACCTGGGAAGGAGAATGTAGGCGTTGATTCTTTATCTCGTCAACCCCACCAAGCTGAGTTCCTTGATTTGGTGGTGCCGATGCCTCTTGACTTTTTGAACTTTGAAGATTCCTTGCAGCAGGACCAGTTACTAAGCAAATTTTGGATGAGTTGAAGTTATATCCTACTGCTATTCCTGGGTATACTGAGGTAAAGGGAAAGCTGTTTTATCAGGGCCGTTTGTTTGTTCCTCACAGTTCTCCAATACAGGCCAAATTGATTGAAGAGGCTCACCTCACGCCATCCGGTGGCCATGGAGGGTTCCTCAAGACATTGAAGCGGCTTACTGGTACTTTCTTTTGGCCCAACATGAAAGCAAATGTTAAAACATTTGTCCAACAGTGCCATGTTTGTCAACAAAACAGATATGAGACTCTATCTCCTGCAGGGCTATTACAACCACTCCCAGCACCTGAGAGAATTTGGGAGGAGATATCTCTTGATTTCATTGTGGGCTTGCCCCGTTCAGGAGGGTTTGACACTATATTGGTGGTAGTTGACCGCCTGAGTAAGTACTGCCATTTTATCCCCTTGAGTCACCCATACACTGCCAAGACAGTTGCAGCTCGTTTTTGTGAAGAGGTGGTCCAACTACAAGGAATTTCTTGCTCCGTCCTTTCAGATAGGGACCCTCTTTTCCTTAGCATGTTTTGGCAGGAGTTGTTCTGGTTGGAAGCATACTTGAGGTGCTTCACACATGAACAACGACACCAATGGAGCAAGTTCCTGTGTTGGGCGGAGTACTCGTTCAATACAGGATTTCACACTTCGTCTCAATTGACTCCTTTCAAGGTAGTTTACGGAAGGGACCCACCAATAATCCATCCTTTTGTTCGAGGCGAAACTCTGATTGCAGAGCTGGCAGAACAACTAGAGGCCAGGGACAATGTTTTGAGACTCCTACAAGATAATCTCAAAAAACCCCAAGACCTAATGAAGAGCTATGCGAACCAACACCGCAGGGACATACATTTCAAAGTTGGGGATGCTGTTTTCCTCCGCATCCAGCCCTTCCGGAGGAATTCCCTTGCTCGACGAAAGTTTACGAAGCTATCTCCAAGGTTTTTTGGGCCCTACTTGATTACAAGGAAGGTCAGACCCGTGGCTTATGAGTTTCAACTTCCAGATACCATTCATATCCACCCGGTTCTTCATGTGTCTCTTTTACGACCAGCCAGGGGTGTTACTCCGTCTAACCCTCCAGCTGCTTTGCCCCTTTCTTCAGATCTTGAACTGCTCCTCGAGCCAGCTTCAGTCCTTGACCACCGTTGGAAGGGGTCTACCTTGGAATTGTTAATTCCATGGAAGGGTAGACGAGATGAGGAATCGAGCTAGGAAGAGTATGAGTTAATACGGCAGCAATATCCAGTCTTCCACCTTGAGAACAAGGTGGTTTTCAAAAATGGGAGTAATGATAAGATTTTGATCACTTATAGCAGGAGGCCACGTCAGCAGCTTTAATTATATTAGTTCGTTCTCTTTACTTGTTGTTACTTTAGTTTAAAACACTAGTCATTAAATAAAATGACTCACAGGTTGTCAGGAGTCCTGAAGCCCTAGAAGCCTGCCTAGTTGTTATTTAACCTTATCAGTTTGTTACAGAGTTATAAATATCCCAGCCTCCCTATCGCTGGATACGCAGAAAATAAATCATCGTTCTTGAGATCCTCTTGGCTTCTATCCCTTTTTATCGGTGAGATTCTTACTGTGAGAAAGGAAGGAGAGTTCTATTTAGAATTAATTTAGATCCTGAATTAATTCTAACAGGTTTCTATCATAATATCAACATCTTAAAACAGCTTTTTAAAAATTCCCTTTTCAGCTATTCAAAACAATAAAAAGATGGGGCTTTTTTGTTGTTTTTTAATGGATGTCGTATACCAACATTCACCTCACATCATCCACTGACCAATATCTACCTCCAATCTCCTCCATGACTAACTGTGTCCTCTCTCGCTGCTTGACTAACTCTATCTTCTCTCTGTCCTAGACTTCTAGGGCTCTACCTACAAGGGTACGTACCTAACTTCCAATATTCTTTTGTACAAAAACTCAACCTTTTCCGGCCATTCCTGTGGGGGTATCACGTTCAACCAACCACCACATTTCCCTTGGAAACAATATGGGGCCCATCCCATCTCTCATGACCTATAAAGATTCACAATCCTCATCTCCTAACTCCTTGCCGACCTTCCCCTGGTCTCATTTCCTGACCAATGCCAGTCTTTTGTTGGCAGTTGGCACGCTCATAACATGATCACAACATCAATGCCGTACTTATCAGATTCCCTAAGAAAACAAAAAAGTGACCCAAAAAGATTCTTTAATTACATTTTGAACCCCAATAAAATTGCATGTTACATATATAAAATATTTAAAAATCCAGAACACTTAGGGGATCATAATCAAATAGGAAGAATAAGTATACATATGACATCATTGAATGCCATGACAGTATTTTCTTAAGAGAAATACATTTCAAGCACAAACACTGGCATCACAAGCTGAGTCTACACGGAAATATGCATTGCAACATTGCATTACAAATTTATAAATTGAACACCCACAAGTCAACACATAAAGTAACGTTTAAACAAATTCAATGAATTGAAATAAAAAAATGAATATAGAATCCAATATGTAAAAACTTACTGCTACTACAAATTAGAACAACTGCAAAGTCTGCAACACCGTCAATAATAAAATACATAAATAGTCCATTGCAAAAAAAACTTATTGTTATCGGATACAAATAACATGAGTAGATGCTCCATTTATTCAAATTTTTAATGTGTTTAGAAAATGCAACTATAAATTAAATCAGTATGTACCAAATTACAAATCACATGAGGAAATGAACTTACTCACCACTTGTATCTCAATATATGTCCATCATTAGTTGCATTATCTAAAGCATCATCTGTAGTAACAGATTGATCTGGGCGTCGCAAGAGAACATAAGGTGTGAGCTCACAGCCTACTATTGGAATGTCAGAAGGGAGGTGCACTCGCAGAATCGTCAGCATTCTGTGAGATGTGCAACGGCCCACTTTGTTTTATCTATTTCTTCACCTATAGCTACGAGAAATGCACCAGCATCGAAAAAGCCAAAATTTTTAACCTCTGAACACAGGCGGACATGTGGCGGATCCGCCATCACCAGAGATCAGCACAAAGCGCCAGCCTGAAATCTTTTGCGGTCCTAAACCCTAAAATCTGCCAAAAATTTTGTTTTCGGCAAAAAAAAATAGTTTTTTTTTTCAAATCAGAGGTAATTAATGCAGCACAGGAGAAAGAAATGAAACTTTCCGAGAGAAGAGTCGCAGTTTTAATCAAAATGAAGTACGAGAAAAGGGTTGAAACCAAAACCCCAAATGACCTTAGCGAAATAGTTGAGAAAGTTTAGGGGAGACGGCAATTGTGTTGATTTATACTAGTATAGTACCAGTGCGCACGGAAGAAAATTTTACCAAATATTTTAAAATTGGGGTAATAAAAAATTACTTAATGAATAAATTTTGGTTTTATGTCCTCATTTTTTTGTTTTTATAAAAATCACAATTATATAAATACACCATAGTACACTGTGGTCCCAATCATAATTCATTGTTAATCACTTATTGATAATCGTCTTTTGAAATGTTAAGCTTTACAAATGCTCTTATATATGGAGCACTACGTAAATTTTAATGCATTTGCATTTTATTTAAATTTTATATGGCCTCTATGATGCCATGTTTGATAGTGAACCAATTAAATTGAAGTAAAATACTCCGTATATTATTGTCGATCCTAAATATTTATCCAGTTATGACTTTTTCAGTCCACCATTTTCAACCTATGCTACCAGATTTAAATAAAATATATATTATATTTTAATTAAATAAAATAACATTTTAAAAATGTTTCATATAGTAAATTTAATAAAACTATTTTTATTTAAAACTAATAACAATTTTATTTAGTTTGAGGTCAAAATTTACCAATTCTGACCGTAAAAAATAAAAAATGAATAAATAATCAAGCACAGAGAGAGGGAGTATGTTCAGATGACATGCTTCCACTAAAAAAAGATTATCCCATAGTTTTGAAAAAAACTACTCCGTATTTGAGAAATCCTCCACATTGTTGTAGTATTATTAAACACGGTAAAGCCTAATGCCTAAATGCTTAAAGCTGGCCTCAAAGCTTATGCACAATCACTACATAATATAATGACTAATATTAACACTCCCGTGAGTATATGCAGGAGTAAAATCGATCAAAAAAAGAAAGTTGGCTTGAAACGATTGGAGACAAAACAATCGTGCTTCTTCCCATCTTCGATTTTCAGCACCCTGATCCACCGTAGTCCTCTGTACTCCTTGCTGAAATATCAAAAATTTTAAGTTTAGGAACTAATGAATGATGAATGGATGAGGAGAGAAAATCTTAAATTTAGAAACCAATTAACCATGAACAATTTAGAAACCAAATAGATGAGCAGAGTAGAAGAGAATAAATGGCTGCGTGGATTGAACAACTGGCGTGAGAAACCCTGCGTGAGAAATGGCTGCGTGGATTGAACAACTCTCAATGATATTTGGAGTTTTCAATAGTGCCAGGGGAAAAGGATGAATATATGAACTTCCCATTAAAGTAGCCGACTTTGATTAATGAAATACTATTCTAAAAAATAAGATTTGAAAAAAATACCATCACACTGGAGACTGCCACTGCAAAGGTAGTTATCGAGTCACCATCCTCAACCATCATCTAGATATCTAGCAACCATAATCCCCTTCAATTTTACCAAAGAATGGAACTTATTTTATCTCCCTTCTTGATAATCATGTAATGGAGTCAAGTACCAACTAATTAATGCTTGGTAGTCCGGATCGGGTTCATATTCCCTAGGAAAGAAATACTATACCGTAAACATCACAGTTTCAGAGGCCCGGATTTACTAAGAGTAAATAAAAATGAATTCAAGAACATAACTTACAGCGAAAAAAGCTCCCTCTGTCTGACCGTTTGAAAACCTGTCGTCCTTAGCCAGCGAAATCCATTTATGCCAAGGTAGGAAAGCTACCTGCTTTGCGTTCTCTTAAATCACTTGTTGCCTGCTAATGAGAGAATCTTAGATGAGAAATAAAAGTGTACATATAACCTAATCAAGATGCTCACAGTGTACACGATTGGAATCATTACCGATGCTACTTTGGGAGTAATACAGATGATTCCATTTTCCAAAAACTCTCTCACCATCCCGTCCAAATCAATTTTTTGGTGGTCAAACTCATCTCCACCAAACAAAAAACATGGGCATAATGAAATGCTATGAAGACATGGGCATAATGAATTATGAGAAGCTTTCCAAGCACAGAACCTAAAAGAGAAAGGGTGGAGCAGCGATGGATGGAGGATTGGAGTAACAATTTTGATTGATGTATCACTCCATTCAAAGCACTGTAACTACAACTTCTGGTTGAAACCTCTTCATCATAGAAGCTTCATTCTAAAAAAATTTAACCATCAACAAAAAATTCTATCTAAATAAATTTATATTAGGCTCAAAAAAAGATATTGAAGAAGCTTAATTACCAATCACCGTCATTAATGAAGATATGGATTATTCAAGCCATACATTTTCACCATTAGGCTTTCATCATCCCTCACTTTCTTGGGCAATACCTGCAATGAAAGTAGAAAAAGAATTTTTTCTAAAATATGAAGGTGTATATCCTAAAATGCTAAAATATTTTAATCTTATCCTCTAAATATCTAGTGCGGTTTATAGGCAATCATGGAAAAAGGTGTTGATACAATCGAAAGTGAAAACAAAAGAAATCTATTGAAAGAGTGATTGATATTCATACTAAAGTTTGAATAATAAAAACTTTTTAACTAAAAATACAAAACGTTATGTCTCACAGTTGAATCTGTATAGTGCATGGTTAAAACTTTATTTTAAAGTGGATGAGTGAATGCTATTGGTTATCCTAAAAAGTGTGTCTGGATTGTCAGCAGCAGTGTATTTATTTGAACCTTCCATGAGTTACATCAATTCCGTCCTTGAATAGTCAGATGATGAAAGGTCAACAATGACTTCCCCCTCTTTGCCTTCTTTTGAAATGGCTCCTATGGAATCGTATAGTTAAAACTAATTTTTAAAAAACATAACAATTGAATTTCTAATAAAATTTATGTGAAAAGCACAGTTAATTCATTCCTGGGTAATTCATTCCAATTAACTTGATTACCTCAAATATGATTGCTATACTCCAGGTACCGTTGTCCAGAAGTCGTTCCTAGCTGCTCTCCACTAATGGTCGTCCTCTGTCCACTGTCGTGACTTGCCAGTTCCAGGTCTCCGTGGTGTCTCTAACCTTGTTCCAATTTGGGACCCAGAAATCTGGAAAATATGAAATTTGAGACCTAAAATTTGAAAATCTCAATCTACCTACAAAAGAAATTGTAAGAAAATGAAGAAAAGGCAAGATGAACATTTTTCTTGAAAATGAATCTCTAGACCTTCGTTCCTAACCCAGCAACTGAAGTCTGGATTAGATAGTAGACGACGCCTACCCGATTTGTTGTTCTTTTGGATAGAAAATCAAACTAAAATTTTAATTGGAGCTGTGTACATACCAGGAGCGGCGAAACCCTAGCCCTGATTTCCGGCGAGCAGAGATATTGCGAAGGAGGAGCCAAGACAAAGTCCTAGGATGAAAGCACCGATGGAGTATTTGCTAGATCTAAACCCTAGTGGGAAACCATATGTGGCAGACTGGCAGAGAATGAAAGAACAAAATTTGCTCTTCCAAGAGGTATTAGCTTCTCGGCTACGCTAGGCCGGTCACTCTTCCTTTTTTACTGTAGCTTTGGGCGGGAACACGCACTGTTCATGTTTCCCTTTTAGCTTTGTATATAGATGGATGGATGGATGGATTTAGGGTTTTGCATGGAAGACAATAGGAGTATTTAAAATTGGGATGGATTGTAGTGAGTACGGTGGTAATATATTTAGCTCGTACCGATACAGTATTAAATATTTTGGTTTGGTATGGGATTTTACTTTGTATCAATCCCGATCCTGAAATATAGGTTTTTGTGTAGTTCGGGATGGTTCGGAATCGGTTTCGGTACAAATCGAGATAATATACATATTTACTTTACACTATAAAATTTAACAATGTCCCTTTATTTTTGAAAAATAAAAGTGAATTTATAAAAAAACATGAAAATTAAAAAAATGAATATTTAGATGCAAGAGTACCAAAACTTAATTTATATTTCACAAATTTAAAAAATGGACAACAAAAGAGTATTTCGAATTTTTGTGAATACTTTTTCGTTCATACACAAAAACTAACACTCAAATAAAAGTATAATTTACAATAATAGAATTTGAACTAAATTTTTTTAAAAAAAATTATTTAATGAAAGAATATAAAAAAATTACTCCAGAGTATTATTTTTATAATAGTTTAGTATATATGTTCGGTTTGAGATTTTTGGTATGGGATGTCACCTCGTACCGTTCCCAAATACTGTACCAACCATTCGGTTTGGTACAGTTCGGTTCCTTCTCGGTACTTTTTTGGGTTTGGTATTTTTCGTTTCTGTATTCTCAATTTTTTCGGGAAATTCCGGTATCGGTTCGGTACTTGCTCACCCCTAGATACCGGATTACGGTAACACTCTTGTGTTACTGTCATTTTGGAGTACTTCTGATGCTCCGTTCGTAAAGTTGATCGTTCTTACCCGCCCTAACCCACCCTCAAACCCCCCTCCCCCGCCTATGCACCCCACCCCCAACTCCACTGTAAAAGCCCCCACAAAATGTGTGGCTATTATGCATTGCATAATAGCTACACATTTTGTGGGGTGCTTACGGCGGGGTGCAGGGGCAAGGATAGGGTGGGGGATTAGGGGTGTTGAAACACGGGTTTATCACGTTTTCGTACTAAAGCCGTGTTCGTTTTTATGACAGGTTTTGATAATGCCAAACTGCTACGAACGAGACAAGTTGTTGAATATACAAGGCGATAAGTAAATATAAGAAGAAAGCAAGAGAACAAGAGCTAAAAGAGACCAAGAACAAAGATCATAGTCCTTAGCATTGTTGAGTCGGTCACAATGTGATCAAGACCGACCCAAGCTTTGCACTTTGGCTCTTTAAGCTAAAACATTTTTTATTGCATTTTACATATCATCAAAATTATTTTCAAACATGCTTAAACATATTAAAAACACTTGGTGTTTGCCCAAACCAAAAACCAAGCCATCCGGCATTTGGTTTTCAGAAACCGGCGTTCGACATTCGGTTATCAGCGTTGGTTTTTGGATTCCGAACTAACCAAGTGGAAAACTTTTTATGATTGGTTTTTACTTCTGGGTACATTTAAATAGTTTTCCATCAAAAACACTTCAAAAACCACCTTTCGTTTTTGTCGTTTGATAAAAACCATGCGAAACAGCATAAACTTGACTAGCCGTGGTTTTTACTTAAATGAAGTGGTTTTGAAGTCTTTTTGTGTGGGAATTGTTTTGAATGCATTTAAATGGTTCTCTAATCAAAACATCATGAAAACCACCTTTTGGTTTTGTCTTTTAGTAAAAACCACCCGTGTACTGCGTTGACTTGGTCAACCGTGGTTTTTAACTTAACGGCGTGGTTTTCAACTTACAAAGCTTGTTTTGACATCACAATACATTAAATAAGTGTTTTAAATACTTAGTTTTTACTTTAGAGAACTTTGCATTTTTTTGGTCGGGTTTAAGCGCCGGTCAGTTAGGCCATGGTTCTAGACTAGACATCTACCCAGCGATGGTAGATATCACCCATCCATGGGTAAGTGATCCCGAGATTCCAGAATCATGCCACCCAGCAATGGGAGATATTACCTAGTGATTTGCAGTATAGAATGGGTAAAACTAACAACTAAAAAGAACCCTTGTAAGTAGGGTGTCGAACCTCAGGGAGACGTGAGTTAATTTAATTTAAACAAAAGTTTACAAAAGAAGTTGTAAAATATTTTTGGTCTTTTTGGTTTTATATATAAAATAAAAAGAGAAAAATGAGAGAGTTCCAAACAACACAAAGTTTTTTATGATGAAAAGTTAGGGGTAGAAATTGGTAAATTAATTATCCAATGTTTTTATAAAAGTTGGATTGTTAATTTATTTTTATATAAAATGTGTGGGGTTGCAGAAAAGTATTTAGGGACGCTCTCGCAGCTCACCTAAATAATAACCACTCCGACTTTAACACGCTAATGATAAATCCGGAGTAATTATTTAGTAACAACGGCAACCATAATTATTTTATTGTATGTTTACCCAATTTAATGGTGTAAAAATACAACTCAATAATTATATCCACCCGAAAGTTTTCAATCCCGGTTAAAGATAGAGAAGGTTTACGGTGTAATTAAAAAGTGTTCTATTTTATGATAATTTCAATTTTAGCTCAAATGCCTTTTAACAATTTTGTTTATGATTGGGCCCTTAATTAAAAATCACAAACATTTAAAAATTATTTATTTTTAAATACAACATCTAAGTAAAAATAAAATCAACAATCCATGTTAAAAATATTTAAAACATTAAGATGGATAATTAATTGCACCAACTTCTAACTCCAATGGAATTTAGAAGTTCATAGTTTGAAGCTTTAAAAAATAAATATTTATTACACTAATAAAAATCTTACAAAAATGGAAGATATGTTCTTGAGCTTCAAATAATCAAATGTAATAAATGGTGTTGATGATGATGATAAAGATGGAGTAATTTTTATGTGTTTGGAGGAGGAAAGTGGTGAGATATTAGTGAGGGAAGAAGAGAATTTCGAAATAGAGAGAGAGAGGAGAAAATGGGGGTTCCAACCTCTAGAGGAAGAGAATGGTTGGGTTTTTATAGATGAATTCGTATATACAAACAGTCCCACTTAGAGTCAATACAAGCATAGTAGCGCACATGGAAATGAGGCTGCTTGTCGTGCCGCGTGATCCCCCCTCCATTGTCGGTGTTTTGTCATTTTTCTCTCTCAATCATTGGCCGAATTTCAGTATAGAACATTATTTCTGTCCGCCAATGATTATCCAAATAATCAGTTGTGGCGTGATGGTCAAAGCTTTGAATCCACATGCGGATGCCTAGAGCTCGAATCCCAGGGGCGTTTCTCTTCTTTATTTTTGTTTAATTTCTTCTTTCTTCAAATCTCTTCCATTTATTTCGTCCCAAACTTCTATGTTTATTTTCCGTTCTTGCAATTATTCTCAATGTGTCCAAATGACCTCAAAATACTTGCAAAACATATAAAATCAAGCATAGAACCGCTCTACAAAAATAAAACAGAAAATTAACATAAAATATAAAATTAATTCAATTGGGACTCAAACTCTTTCAAAATATGCCTAAAAAGTGTATCAAATATGTGAATATCAACTCCCCCACACTTAGACTTTTGCTTGTCCTCAAGCAAAATAAACTATAAAAAGCATCCTAAATAGGACTAAAACATAGATAAAAGTACCAAAATAGGACTTTCATGTTTTTTTCCCGGAATAAAACTTTGCATTGTGGTAATGTGGCAGTGTACATGTGCAAATTTCTATGTTTTTTGGTAATGTATATGACCATGGTTTGTAATGTAAGTTCTATTTCGAGAATAAAAACATGTAAGTCCTTTTTTGGTATATTTTCAAAGTTTTAGTCCTGGTCTTTCTCCCAATAAACTACAAATACAATCTTTACATGTGTTGTTAAAATTTACATACATAATTTTACAAATCACACAATTATCGCTTTTGTCCACCAAACTATCCAAAACCCATGAATTGTCACAAAATAATAAAATGAGAGTAACTTGAGTAATATTACCTATCCTAGAAACTTCCATGTTAATAATTTAACGCAAACACCTATAGTGCTAAACTAGTTAAACTAATACTCCATTCGTCCCCCTAAGATGTTCTCATTTTGACTTTTGGTGGTTTTTAAGCAGAGTTGAAAAAGGTGAAAATTTATCATAATACCCTTAATGAAATATGGGTGGAGTGTATTAAATGAGGTGTGTGAGGTGTAATAAATAAAGTAAGTGAGGGTAGTCGTGGTATTTTAATTGTTAAAAAATGAAATGAGAATATCTATTGTGGACAAAGAAAAAGAGCTATTGAGAAGATATATGAGGGACGGAGGGAGTATAAACCAAGTTTCTCCAATCTAATTATTTTAAAAGTGACACAAAATGATCAATTAGGACTTTTATTCGGCTTGTAACGGGGCTAAAGGTAAGTGGGCAAACAAAGAAAGGGTATAAAGGACAATTAAAAAGAGATAGATTATTGATTTGCAGTATAGAACGGGCAAAAATAACAACTAAAAAGAATCCCTTGTAAGCAGGGTGTCGAACCTCGGGGAGACGTGAGTTAATTTAATTTAAACAAAAGTTTACAAAAGAAGTTGTAAATTATTTTGGTCTTTTTGGTTTTAAAGATAAAAATAAAAAGTATAAAAGAAGAGAATTCCAAACAACACAAAGTTTTTGATGATGAAAAATTAGGGGTAGAAATTGGTAAATTAATTGTCCAATGCTTTTATAAAAGTTGGATTGTCAATTTATTTTTATATAGAATGTGTGGGAATGCAGAAAAGTATTTAGAGACGCTCTCGCAGTTCACCTAAATAATAACTACTCCGACTTTAACACGCTAGTGATAAATCCAAAGTAATTATTTAGTAACAACGACAACCATAATTATTTTATTGTATGTTTACCCAATTTAATGGTGTAAAAATACAACTCAATAATTATGTCCACCCGAAAGTATTCAATCCCGGTTAAAGGTAGAGAGGGCTTGCGGTGTAATTAAAAAGTGTTCTATTTTATGATTATTTCAATTTTAGATCAATATTTGACAAATAATATACTTCAAAGTGAGTTAAGCGGGAGTAAAATAATGAAGCAAGCAAGCTCCCCCTAAGAATGTGCATGTTGAAAATACTCACTTTGAACTTTTTCTTGTGTTTATGAAAGTTTAAGTTAGATGCAATTAGTTACACAAGAATGCACTCAAGTCAAGTTGCCTATGCACCACTTTGAAGTATACATCTTCTCTTCCTTTTGTCAAAATCAAAAGGGGCATTTTGAAAATTTTAACCATGTATAACTTCTTGAAACCCTCCCCCTATCAAAATAAATTAAGAAATGATAGTTTGGAGATCATTGAGCAAAAAGGTGCATTTACAACAAAACTCCCCCTAAAGATAAAAACCCCCTCTAAAATGATGCAAGTTTAAAAACTTTATTTTTCAGGGATTTTTAGGGATCATTTTCTAAAAAAGCATGATTTAAAGATGAATTTAAAAAATATTTAATCATGCAAACCAAGGCTAAAGTAAATGAAAGCACGTATGGGATAAGGTTTTATTTTTGAAAATAATTAAAACCAAACAAAATATCTTATCCCAATAAGTGAGAAGAACTTACCTTGGCTTATGCCGCTCTTTCTTCGGTTTTGAATATACTTCTTTCTCTTTTGATTTTCTCCGTCTTGAGTCTTCAAAAAATTTCCATTGGAGAAAGCTATTGTATTTCTTCCTCATTACTCTTTCTTCGTCTTCTTCATCACTTGACGAATTAGAGTCCTCGGATGTTTCATCCGTCTCACTTGACTCATCATTTGAGTCACTTGAGTCATCACTAGACTCATCCTTGGATGCCTTGAACGCATTGGTTCGTTTTGGGTCTTCTATCAGATATTCTTCTTTCATCTTAATCATCAAAAGCTCGTGAGAATACAAAGAAGACCAAATGTGGGCGGTGCTTTCCGTTGCACATTTGGGTAAAAGATCTACAATACTACTATGCCATTCTTTTGGCAAAGAAAGTAAAATTTTAGTATTTAGTTCACTTGTAGAATATTCCTTACCCAACTTACCCAACTTGTTGATTATTTCATTGAACCTTCTATTGGCATCTTGGATTGACTCGTGTTGGCCAATTTTGAAACTTTCGTACTCCGAGTTTCCGAGGGCCAACATGGTTTGCTTCGTGGAGTTGTCGCCTTCATGCGTGGCTTGAAGCAAATCCCATACCTCCTTGGCCGTTTTGCACGAGCACACACGTGCAAACTCATCGGGTCCAAGGGAGCAATGAAGGATGTTCATCGCCTTCGCGTTCATGGACAATTTTCTCTTGTCCTCCGAGGATAGCCCTGCAAAATCACCGTTTCTCGGCACAAATGGCCCGTGAAGTACATTCAACCATAAATCAAAATCAATTGATTGAATGAAATATTCCATCCGCATTTTCCAATACGAATAGTTTTGACCATTGAAAAACGGAGGGCGGTGAATGCTTTGAGAATCCATTTGAGCCATAAATTTGAATTTTTTTAAAAAAAATTAGGGAAAATAAATATTTGAGATTTTTAAAATTCAAATTCAAAAAGGACACAACAAGTGGATATTTGTCGTAGGTGCGGTTAAGCACTTTTAACTAAAAATCCGCTCTGATACCAATTGTTAGTCGGTTTAGTCGTTGTGCCCACGCCTTAGAGGGGGGGTGAATAAGGCGTTTTAAAATCTTTTCGGAGTTTAATAAAAACAGTGTTGGCAAATGCGGAAGCAATATATAAAACGCAGAAATAAAAGCGTAAATAAAATGCACACCGATTTTATACTGGTTTGGGAACTCCCTACTCCAGTACCTCGAGGCTCCTCCTCAAGGATTTCCGAATCCACTAAGTCCCGGTCTCTTGAACTCTGTCAAAGCACCGCACTAGTTTGGGAAACAACCCTTGCCAATAGGATTCACTCCGAGATTTCACCACGGCTATCTCGAACCGTTTACAACGAAGATTTAACGGCTATCTTCTACCGTTCCCCCAAGGATTTCAAAGGCTATCCTTGAATCTTTACCCAAGGATTTATACGGCTATCCTTGACCGTTACAACGTGAGAATTTAACGGCTATTCTCAACCGTAAGAAGGTGTGTTTGAAGAACACAAAAGAGGATTCTACACAACGGCTAGAATATAAAAATGAAGAACAAAACTTAGCCGGTGTAGAAAGAAAGTATACTCTCTCAAAAATACAATTCAAACTTATGAATATGAGAATATATAACTAGAAACACAAGCTCAAAGTGTGTGTATAAAAATCAGGAATTTAAGGCTCTTAAAATAGCCAAAATATTGAAAATAATTAATAGAAGGATGAACACACTTGGAATAAAAAGAGAGGATGTTTAGAGCTTTGTTTCTTGTTAAAATATGAAGTATTAGGCCTATATTTATAGTGGAAGATGTTAATTAGCCGTTAGGAGGTGATTAGAGTTGAATTAATTCAAAAATCAGTAATCAGGAATAGTGTTCCAATGGTAACGGTACCCTGTCACGGTAGCTAGGTCCCATACGGTGGCTAGGTTTTCTTCTCAGGCCAAAACTCTCTGGTAGTACCTATACACGGTACCTATACACGGTAGGGGGGTCCCGTATCAGATTAACTCACGGTACACCTTACGGTACCCCTCACGGTACCTAGGTACCTTATGACCATTTTGACAATTTTTTCATTTTTGCCCAAATCATTTCCAATTTTGTTTAAAACCTTTTGAATGTTTGAAAATTATTATAAAAGGGTTTTAAACATATTTTGTGAGTGTTTTTGAGCTTGTGAATATAGGTATATAAAATCATATCCTTACATCGGTTTCTACCTAAATTCTACGCTAGTTTAGTGTTTCGACTTCATTCTTGAGAACCGAATCTTAATGGATTCTTGTTGTACCTGAAATACTTAAACAAACGACAAGCTCTTATATTGTTTGTTAACATCAAAACATGAGGCTTAGCAAACCAAGGCTAACACCAAGCCCATGAGATAGTTGTCATTATCAAAACACAAGGGTCAACAACCCTAATAGTTCCCCAGGCCCTGATGATTTAATGGATACTTTTTTAGGAAAACTGGGAAAATTATTGGAAATGAAATTTGTATGGCATCTAAAGAATTTTTCCTTGGTATCTCTGTTCCTTCAGGTTATGGAGCTACCTGGCTGTCCCTCATCCCCAAAAAGGAAGATGCAGCTTCCTTTGAAGATTACAGGCCAATCTCTCTCTTTACCTTCCTTAGCAAAATCAATACTAAGATCCAAGGCTACTGAAAGTCCTTCCTAAGATAATCTCTTATCAACAAATAGCTTTCCAAAAGGGAAAGGATATTGCTGATTATATTCTTTTCGTGGAGGAAATGCACCATGAGATAAACAGAAAAGTCAAAGGAGGAAACATGATCATTAAGCTTGACTTATCTAAGGCCTTTGATAGACTGAACTGGGAATATTTAAAGGGCATCTTGGAAGCTTTTGGATTCAATGATAAATCTCAAAACATTCTCTTAGCTAACCTGAAAGCAACAAGACTCTCTGTCATAGTCAATGAAACTCCATCAAGCTTCTTCAAGATGACAGGAGGGGTTAAACAAGGGGACCCCCTATCTCCTCTCCTCTTTATTATTGGTTTGGAAGGTCTTAGCAGGATGCTCAACTCTCATCAACTCTTGGGTTATATTTCCCCTTTCAATGCTGGAAGGGTCCCCATCCCCTCTCATCTAGCTTATGCAGACGATCTTGTCATTTTCACTAATGGAAGAGTTAGGAAACTCCTAAGACTCTCCAACATAATATCAAGCTTCCTCCAAGCCTCTGGTCAAAGAGTCAACTTCCAAAAGAGTAAATTCTATACCTACTCCAACATCTCCCCACAGGCACTCTCTGATAAGGAAAGAGCACTTAAGATTCAACATAACAAAGAACTCTTGATTTATCTCGGGGTCCCAATTAGCAATGGAATTTTAAGAAAGGAAGATTGTGGTTTCCTTCTACAACACTTTGACAGATTACTATCTTCTTGTTATAACAAAACTCTGAACTCAATGGGCAGACTCACGCTGATCAAATACACTCTTTCCTCTATCCCCTTGCACCTTATGTCTGTCCACAATCTCCCAAAATCAATTTCCTCAAAATTGATGAAAAGGATGGTCAACTTCCTTTGGGGCTTCAAGAAAGGGAAACCTAAACACCATTGGGTCTCTTGGACTAAGACTTGTCAACCAACAGATTCAGGAGGATTGGGGATAAAACATTTTGACAACATCCAAGAAGCAAATGCCATTAAACTGTGGTGGAAAATCAACAATAACACAGGTCTGTGGGTTGATTTCATGAGGAAAAAATACTGGAGGGATGGTGCCTTTAGTATCAAACCTACAGACTCTCCAACATGGAGGAGAATTGCTAAAATTCACACTTTAGCAAGAAACTTCCCGTACATTTCCGAAGATCAATACAGGTGGAGGAATGGGGAATTCTCATTCAGCAAGGCTCTCTCAGCTTCCACTAATGGCTACTGCACTACTCTCTCCAGCAAATTGATCTGACATAAACTGCAGATCCCCAAAATTAGTTTATTTCTCTGGAAACTACACTCTGACGCCCTTCCCCTTTCGCATAACATGAAAAAACTCTTGTTTCACCTTCCTTCCATTTGCCTTCTGTGTAAAAGGAACGAAGACTCGCCGGATCACTGCTTTCTTCACTGCCCGGCTGCCAAGGAAGTTTTGGAACACTTTATAAACATCATAGAGGGTCCAAAAATAATCACAAATCTCAAAATTCAACAATACCTTCTGCAGTGGTTCATCAAAGCAAAAGGAAAAAAGCTTCACAGCACATCTTCGAAGTGTAATCCCAGGAATAATTGTGTGGACTCTCTGGAAAGAAATCAACAAAGTACACTATGAAGACACCCTCAGCTCATCCTTTAGAATGATTAACACAATCCACTAGGAAGTTCAAGGATGGATATGGATTTAGAGGAAGAAGAAATGGATGATCTCTGAAGGAAATGAAATCTCACTTTTTCCTAATCGGTTCTGGTTGAATGGGAATTGTTTGAAGATTGGTTTTATTCCCGCTAACGATATCGAGAATTTCTTTCTTCATTCTTTAGTGTAGAAGTTTTGAGAGTTTAATTTTGTCTTGACTTCTGAGGCTTTGGTCTAGTCCTCCTCAGACGTGTTCTCCATTTGTTCCTCTTCTCTTAATAAATTTCTCCTTTTATATATATATATATATATATATATATATATATATATATATATATATATATATATATATATGCAGGGGATGGGGTGGTGGGCTCTGGGGAAGGAGACACTGGGAGGGGTGTGGATTTGATAGACTGGGTGAGGCTGAAGGTGGCGGAGGGTGGCGGCGCTGACTGTTTTGACCCTGGGGTTTCGCCGGAGATGGGGAATCCGGCGGTGGAGAAGCAAATGAAGGAGGTTTTGGGGATAGCATTGCGTTGCGTACGCTCGGTGTCCGAGAGGCCGGGTATCAAGACTATCTATGAAGACCTCTCATCCATATAGTGTGGGATGTGATGAGGTATTATTATCTGTTATTATTAGCTCTCTCTACTAGTCATTTAGACATTTGTAACTTAGCTTCTTTGGGGATCAATTAGCTCATTGGCCTCCTCTCTTTCTTTTAGTAGGAAGGGATGTTGGTGTGGTTGAACTGATTTTGTTGCATGTATATTGGAGTTGTGCTTCAACTCCCTTTCTTTACACATCAAGGATCTACCAAGCCCCAAGTGCCCATACATTTGGGGTGGGCACCATTCTTGAGGGTCTATTTGGAAATCAAGAAAGTAATTTCTAGAATATATATATATATATATATATATATATATATATATTTATTTATGAAAACTTTGTATTCCCTTTTTTCACTTAATAAAATTCTCTTTTCATAAATAAATAAATAAATAAATATATATATATATATATATATATTTATTTATTTATGAAAAGAGAATTTTATTAAGTGAAAAAAGGGAATACAAAGTTATGGGGTGGCCAAACCCAAACAGACCGGCCAATAAAAAGAGCAAGATAATCCAAGTACAAAGGGCCTGCATAATGCCCTAAAAGAAAGAAATTAAATACTAGACAACAAAAAGCGAGTGAGCCATCTGCTAACTAAAGAGTGATGTTTTCCTGCTCTTGCTCTTGCCATCATCCCCACCAATGTAAATCAGTGACCTTTTCAATCCCCCTGCTAAGTTCATCACATTATCTAGCAGACTCAAAACCAGTCTACAATGGGTTCCTCAATGTTTGAGTCTACCTCCTTCAAGGTAAGTGCAGGACTACGTAGGATAGCGAGAATCTGGAAGAAACCATCAAGTTTGAGAACCCATGTCTGCCCTAATGCAGCCCAAACCCTTGCCCAGTCCTGGAGGGCAACCCCTAAGCAAGCCCATGCCATGAAATAGCCATTCCCAAACGAGAAAAAAAGCCATGTAAACCATTCAAATGCCTCTAATACCTGCAAAGGAAAAACCGTACTGCCCCTAGTAGTAAACAAGCAACCATGGAACAGAAATAAAATCATAGGCCAAAGACCACACCATAAAAGATACTCAACTAATTTATCACAAAAAAAATCATTTGAGATCAATCAGAATCATCATTTTTCTGCCCTCCTACCAATTTCTTCTTAAGTTTCTTTTTAGACCTTTTCTTTTGGCTCTTGGTTAAAGGCTTATTTGTGGTCTGCTTTTTGGTTGCTTTTTCTAGTTTGTTTGGGCAGCATTCCTTGAAAAAATTTCTAATGTCTTCTGCAAAATTTGAATCTGAACCATTTGACCTTTCCTCCCATCCAATTGGTGTTTTCTTTCTCCCTTCTTTCAGAATCTTTGCCTTACTTTGTGTTACTATTTGAGAAGGCCAGTAGATGTGCCTACCCTTGAATTCTCTCCCCAAATCGAAAGGTGTCTTGAACATCCTTGAGTAACCAATTTGAAGAGGTTTGAGAGTGTTGTCATTGAAGATCTTGTCTTCTCCCTCGGAATGCGTATATAAAATAGGCCCCTCTCTTTCTTCCCAGATGTCCTCTAGTGCATTGTTACTAAGTACCATGTTCCCATCATCAATCTTGGAAAATTCATTTTCCTTGTGTGGCCTGCCATCTTTTGGGTCAATTTTTTGATCAAATAGAGCTGCATAAGAGTTGGGCTTAATGGGGATGAACTCAGCAGCAAAGGGGGATAGGCACACTCTTGGAAGCTGGGGGTATTGAGTATTGTATGATGAAGGAGACTCTGGCTGAGCAATGTTCTCCTTTTTCTTATGGAGATCGAGTTCAAAAGTTATAACCGAGCAATAAGACTAGTCAGTAGAGTTTCCAAGTTGTAGTTCCTGCCCTTCCAAAGGCTGTTCTCTAATGTCATGGATCTCAAGACTAAGAGACTGTTTTTCATACTCTTGGGCTAATTCTACCACCTCATGTGAATGATCCTTTTTGGATAGGGAGTCAGACAGTGGATCACCTACCAAGTTGTTTATATTAGGGCTTAGCTTAAGATTCTTCAAATTTTGCTCTAAGACCGGGGTGTCTTTAGAAGCAAGTGTAGGAATCTTTTCATTAGAGTGCATTGGACCCTCAAATTCTATATCCCCTGCTACTGCTTCCCCAAACACCCCAAACCCCTTAGCCTTGTTTAAACACTGAGCTCTCTCAACAAAGGACAACAATGCCTTAAGAAACAGGTTAGATCCTTCATTATGTACTCCAAAAGGGATATGAATGAACCTGTTACCTTCTTTTCTAGCTTCCAAAATCCAAATATAATCCCCCCCTACGATTACAGTCAATAGCAATTTCCAGTATTCTCTTAACATCTAATTTAACACAAGCCCAAGTAGCACTGGAAATCACTCTAGGTAGAGATTCCAAGATCCAATTGAGTGAATCAGAATCAAACCATAAATGGAAGTTTCTTCTCCCCCTTTAAGTAATACAGAAAACCTTATTGTAGACAGAGTAAAATAGCTCAAATACCTTATTGAGAATTCTGAATTTGAAACTAATGTTCTTGCTAGGCCATGGAGAGGTGACTGCTTTCTGACCCGGTAATATTATTCTCTGTTCTGAAAGCACATATGAATTCTTCAATTCGTATACCTCGGGGGATTTGAATGGCCATCTAGAGTCACGCCTGCGAAGATTTGATGTTCTATTGTTGGGATATGCGCTTTGGGTGTTGAATCTTTTGATAAAACCAGATTTGCTGTATGATTTGAGGTAAGGTTCACGATGCCGGGGAGGAGCATCTGTGTACAAATATGATGTTTTCCTAAAGCCATAGATTGGCCGTTGATAATCCCGACGAAACATGATGTGGCGACGACGGCAGCTGGAATCGCTGGAACTTTCTAGCTCTAAAAACCTGGCCATGTATATATATATATATATAGTTTGGTTCCGGTGAAAAAGAGATCTAATGAAAGAAATAAGAATAAATATAGACCCTCCGATCTAATGAGATCTTAATCTCATCGCCAGGGCATAAAGGTCTTTCCATGGCAATCTGTTAAACGCTAATGATCGTGACACACCCTCATCCCTGATTTCTCGCTCACGATCGGATTCACTTTCCCCATTTCTTCCGTATCAATTCTGCAGATATGAATTCCCTTATTTAGCAACCTCTTAATTTCACAAACCTCGTAATCGTCCGATATTGAGATTCCTCTTCCTCGATCGATTTTTTATCATGGTTCCAGGTATGTTTTATTTTATTTCGTTTTGTTTTGAATTATGTAAATATCTTCTCGAATTTTGCTCGCCTGTTGCAGTTCGTTGGATTCATGAATGCTTCTACATTTGCTGTGAAATTACATGTAAAAATTTGTGTTATTTACAATTTTGTTTTTTGGGGTTCTCGTTTTAATTTCTTCCTCGCCATTTCTCACAGCTACATTAAATCGGATCCACTAGTTTGGTGTAATACCGTATTCGTATTAATAAAATATTCTTAATAAAAAAATGGAGTAATTTTTTTTCAAATGACAAATTTACTATTACAAACATTTTACTCCATGTAAAATGAAAAAAAAATACATATATCTATATAAAAAGATTTTCCAATGTGAAAAAAAAATAAATATAACTGTGGTGTATATTTTGAGAAAGTAAGTATGAACATATTTTTATTGCGTACTTGTATTTTTAGAACTTCAAAGTATATATGTGAAGTTAATTTAAGGTATCTTTTTAAACTAAGAGCAATATTTGATTTGCAAAACTTGCATATTAAACTTTTAAATTGATTTTAAAAATGTACATGATTGGGATAGTGTGACGGTTTTAAGGAGCATGGAGACTTTTGTTCACACTTTCACAAAGAGTAGAATTGGAAACATGGAGTGCTTTTACAAAGGTGCGCACAAATGACAATATTTTTTAAAATAATAACCTACTTGGTGTACTTGTATAAAATCTTTTACACAGGTTTAGAAATTTACATATGAAAAACACTTTTGAAATAGCTTTGAGTTGTGAAAGGGTGTGATAAATTTACAAAGTTATTACCACAACATAATAAAGAAATGTGAAGGAAGTCATTGCCTTGCTTGCGTCCTTTCCCAAAGAAAATGAAAACACATGAGGAGTTGTCTCTTCCAAATTAAGAGTAAGGGACCCTACTCTTTCTCTCCATATAAAACTCCTGCAAAGCTAGCTGCTAAACCTACCACAATATATTGTTGCTAAGCCATGTCTATCTCATGCATTTAATTGGGAGGCCACCCAAACTTCTACATCCACAAATTTCCTGCAAGAAGAAGACAAAATAATTAATGGAGATTTGGCCTACTCACCTACACAATGAGGACGGAGGAAACTACCT